GGGCTTCTGACAAACTTCCATTAGCAAGATTCAATACTGCCTTAATCATCTCTGTACCAACCTCTGGAAACTCTCTCAACAAAACTTCCTCATTCTCTAACTTTGTTGGTACTTTAATAGGCTCGCCCGTATGTCGTTGGGCCGCATTTGCGCGAGGTGTATTTTGTGGTAAACGAGGTCCCGTTCCCGTCGCACTGCGGTTTACGGCCTCTGTCACTCGTCCAAAGAGAAATCGTGCCTCAAATTGTTCTCGGCCAACATCCGATACCCGTCGCACGTACTCTTCACATGACAACTGTCCAGCCTTTAGCGATCTCTCAAGAAGTTCAAGCGAGTCATCTGAGGCATGAATCTCTCCTAACAGTTCAAGGGCACGGGCCTGTAGTTCATCCGCAGGCACAATACACGTGGAATGCACTTCTGGAGAGTCTGGAAGTTGCTCCAGTGTTGCTGTAATCTTTTCTACTTTCCCCAACGCTGGGGAATAACGTAGCAGATCTGCTTTGCGCTGCTCTAGCAGAGCACGTGCCTCTCGCATGGCGCCTCCACATTTATAGAGACGCCCCAAATGACGAAGTGCTTCTTCTCTGGTGTCCAAATATCCCTCCGCTTTGGAAAGCAGGTGTAACATCAGCGCCTCTGCGGCCCTTTGAATTGTCCTTCTGCGTTCCTCCTCTGACATGTTTGTTGCTGCTGTGTTAATTCTTCCCTGTGTGGATGCGGCTGTGTTGAGCGGCGTGGTGTTTGCCGCCGGCACGAGCGGGAACTCCAACTCAAACTGCTCCGTGAGGGCGAGAAGAATCTCCAGCAGCGAATACGGCGGCGCGGCGCCCTTCAGAAGTGAAAGTTCCGGCAGCTGCACGGCGCCGTTGGCGGCCACCACCCGCGACGGCTGCCGCACCCGCCACTGTTGATATCCACCGCCGGGCACAACACTGCAGAAGGGCGCAATGGTGGGAAACGCGGCGGGGAATTGAACCACAACGTTGAGTGGCTGCGGCCTCCCACTACCACTACCACTACTCCTATTGTTACTATTATTACTATTGTTGTTTTTATTATTATTATTTTGACCCTTCGAAGGGGGTCTGACGAAGAGGGGGCAGTCGAGGAAAAGAAGCACTTGGGCGTCATGCTTGCGGAAAGAGGCGGTGATGGTGCCGAAGTTGCTCAAATACACCATAAAGTCCTCAAGATATTTACTGATGGCGATCGCAGCTGCAGGAGTGTAGTGCTTACACAAAACCTCCACATTCACATATTTTCGTAATTCCTCACCACTCATTATTTTGTATGATTTCTTTGATTCTCTTATGTATTTTTTTTTTTT